ATGTATTATTTTTCCCCTGCCTTTTGTATTGTTTGTTTTCATGAAGGATCGTTTTCTAATTCATCCTAACTAGATAAATACACCCTGGAAATTGTTACCACCATCTCGTGGATACTATCACTTGTCTTGTGAAGTCATTCACTTGCATAATAGAATCTGACATAAATAATTTACCAGAAGATAGAACATTATACCGTCTTTTACAAGCGTTTTGTAGCAAAATGACTATAGCTTTGTTAGAACTGTCTACGAAGCCTTCTGTAATGTTTAAACAAAAATCTCTCTCGAAATTCGACGCTGTTCCGACTGATAAACGAATAGATGTTATCTATGACAGTGAATATGAAAACAGATTTGACTAGAAACATCTGACAAAACATTTTCTAAATTCTGTCTTTTTAATTAGACTATATTGTAAATCGAACAATATGGCGATGGAAGACACGTTTCTCATGACAATTTGAAGATATTAAATGTCGGTTGGAAAATACGATGTTTTTCTTTCTTTTCAAAAAACTTCAAGTACAAAATAAAAATAATAGAAAACAGAAAATGTTTCAATGCCGCGAGACAATAGCGTTAATCGAGAACAAAAGAAACGTTCGAAAAAGTGAGCTTATTAATTATATTTCCGAGATGAAGTGGTATTTAGCAAGTAGAACTTGCCTTTCTATTTCTCCTCCAGGGTATGGATTAGAAGATATTTTTAATTGAGAGTTACGTAGATGACAGGTTATATAACCAACGTGGTCAAATTTATGCTCATCAAACTGTTTTAATAGTGGGCTTAAAAAAAAGATTGCAATAATGCAGGTCACCTAAATTTACATGAAAAAAAAACTGTACTTTTCGTGGTTCGATTTTTGAAAAGATACGATCAGTCGAAAGGAAAATGGTTCCATTCCAATGACTTCCTTTTGATTCAAAACTAATTACTGCACTATAGAAATATTTCATTTTATGAAATGGTATTTATAGGCCTTTACTCGAAACAACTCTTGTTTATAAGTCTTTTCATCTAACGACACTCTATGACAGTATATATATATATATATATATATATATATATATATATTTTATTAAAAGACATTTTTATGTTTAACGTTCTTTTATATAGATACAAGTATTTAAGTAAATGCTCTGTTTATAATAAACAGTATTAAATAACATTTACCGGCCTGAATTTTGTTATTTAATACTTTTATTATAATTTACTTTTTGTATCTATAAAAAAGAACGTTAAACATAAAATGTCTTTAATAAAATAAATTGTCGGACTTTTGTCCATTTCTTAATATATATATATATATATATATATATATATATGTGTCTCTGTGTGTGTGTGCGTGTGTGTGGTGCAGTTTAATTCATATTACAATGAATCATTCATACAAAAAGTAAATTAGTATAGTTAATGATATAAAATGGCGAAATCACTTCGCTAACTAGATTTTAAAGATGCATTAACCCATTCGATGAATGTAATGATCCTTGTGTTTTAAAATTATAAACTGTGTTATTGTAAACTGTGCTATTATATACAATTATAAACTGTGTTAACAAAGTTTATAATCTTAAAAAAAATAAAGTATCATAATCATTCATCGAGTGGTTAGTAGGTTAAGTGATATTTAACATTTAGTTAGCGAAGTGATTTTCACCATTTTATATCATTAACTGTACTAATTTACTTTTTGTATGACTGATTCATTGTAATATATATATATATATATATATATATATATATATATATATAGTTTAGTTTATCTGACGATCGCAAATAGCGTGAAACCCAGGGTCACAAATTCACATTAATCCAACTATATATATATATATATATATATATATATATATATATATATATACAAATGAGTGAAAGAACAGATGAAGGAAAAATCCACAGTTCATAGCATTTTTTTAAATTGCTCAATAAAAAGTAGACCAAAATGTTATTATAATATTTTTATTATAATAAATTACAATAATAACATTTTACATCACTACACAAAAACTTTGATGCTTATATATATATATATATATATATATATATATATATATATATATATAGATAGATAGATAGATAGATACACCTAGTAGGCCAGATAATACCTACCTAGGTTTCACCTAAACGGATCGTCAGGAAAGTAAGCCTTACTTTCCTGACGATCTGTTTAGGTGAAACCTAGGTAGGTTTGTCTGGCCTTACTAGGTATATCTAGTCTGCTCTACAGTTGTATTGAGCTCTTTTGTTAGTTAGTTGTTTACTCGTATCGGGGTTTTTCTCTTTGCGCTTCAGACCTGCATCTGTGCGATTTTTCTGTCGGCAGAAGTTCATGTTTGTAGCTCTTTCTTTTTTTAAAACCTTTTTTTCCCTCGAGATTGATTTGATTATTAGCAAATCAAAAATTCGAGGGTTTTTCGAAACGAATCTAGTTATCTATAATTATATATATATATATATATATATATATGTGTGTTTGTGTGTGTGCGTTTCCTTAAAGACGACAGACAAGGTACTGCGATTAAGCTTTTATTTAATCTTTCTTGTGTTCAAACAGGTGTTTCTTTTCTGAACAGATTGTGTAGAACCTGTCCAAATGTTCTGTAATTCTGAGCACCTTTGGCTATACCTTTAGCTATTATCAAGGTTGATTTTCTTTTTTTTCTTTTTAACTGTGTATGTTTCTAGAGTTCTAGGGATGTTTTATTTTCCGAACACAGTTAGAACATTGTGGCCATGTTTGTATTTAATATTATTAAGTGTGGGTTTTTTCTTTTTATTATTATGGCTTAGGTCAAATGCACGTCAGCTACAAACAAGATGAATCTTCACTTTTCATAAAGAAACACACTAACCCAATTGACCCAAATAAAAAAAATTAAATAAACTATCGACTACAAAAATATTTAAAACAGCTAACTTTATCCTAAAAATAACAACACACTTGCACAATGAAAATTACAAAAAACGAACAGGTCAAATGATTTTTAAGGAAATGTGTTCCGGATCAAACCGAACTCATAAATAATTACATCAGTCACACAACTACATGCCTATCCAGACGACTAACGTTACACCAATCCGAATACAGCTCAATTAGAATCCATTTAAATACACACACAAACTTACCAGACTTAATCAGAAACATACTAGTAGAAAATACAAGCATAATAACCTCCTTCATATATAAAATATAAAAAATAATGGAAGCTAATTCTGAAAAAACAAAACAAAAAAAGAACTAGCACAAAAACTAAACTCATAGTGTACGAAGTCGTCGCCATTCCAATCTAACTCAATGGGCGTGAGACATGGACCATGTACAACCAAGATACTGAATGATTCTATTAACAAAAGCTCCAAGAAACAACATCAAAGCTGCTATCATCAAACACCGGCTTCAAAGAACACAGGCCATATATTCTACATGAACATTGACAAACCTTTAAAAGCAAAATCGTCAAAAGACCCTTAACTGCCTAATTCTTATCAAGTAAAACCGTCTATTTCAAGAAGCGATATCCACTTATAAAATTCAAGAGAACTAGCAAAATACCATCCTCTCCGGTGTTAAACTACATTTCTCAAAAGGTTTTCGAACACAAGCGACGTAGATACATAGCGGACTAGAGGCAAATAATGAAGGCCGTTTAAATCCAACTAGGATTTGTTCCAACCTGTGTAAACTACAAAAGCAGAGGCACACGAACTGAGAATGGATTAGTATTCAAGACTATATTACAATATATATATATATATATATATATATATATATATATATGTGTGTGTGTGTGTGTGTGTGTGTGTGCACATTTCATTGAAAACGACAGACAATGTGCTTTTATTTAGTTTTTTTATACAATTTCTCATGCGATCTAATAATGTTTTTCATTTCGGATGATAAATTATATAAGAACTCTCTGAATGTTCTTTTTATCGAAGCGCTTTCGGCTATACATTTAGCCATTTTCAAGGATTAACTATTTTAACTGTTAAATAAGAAATAATGGAAACCTTATTAATAAAAAAAACAACACTTAATAACATTAACTTTGAACAAGGACACAATGTCTTGACCATGTTTTGAAAAATGAAAACATTTTATAAAACATACATACAACAAACTATTTCTGAACCGAAGCTCACACAAACATAAACATATGTGACCAGTATGGGACTTGACATATATATGCATAACTCACATTAATCTAACTAAATATGTTAGCTCTATCTTTGATATTAAGCGCTTTCCAATAAGTACCGCACACACACACACACACACATACATATATATATATATATATATATATATATATATATATACACACAAATATAGATAACTATACTCGTTTCGAAAATCCTCGAATTCTTGATTTGCCAATAATCAAATCAATCTCGAGGGAAAAAAAAATGGTTTAAAAAAAGAAAGAGCTAGAAACATGAAAGTCTGTCGAAAAAAATCGCTCAGATACAGGTTTGAAGCCCAAAGAAAAAACCTCAATACGAGTAAACAACTAACAAAAGAGCTCAATACAACCGTAGAGCAGACCACGCTATCCACCTATGTATGGGAAACCAGACAAGAAAATGATCCTTAAATGGGAAATATTAAAAAAATGCCCCAAATATAAAGCAGGCCAAAAATTTTGTAAATTATGTACAGAGGAGAAATTAGCCATAGCTCTATATAATCAACCTAACCAGCTATTAAACTCCAAAACCGAAATTCTTAACATATGTAGGCATAAAAAATCTTGGTTACTAAATTAAGACGAATTTCCCCGTTTATTTGTCATTCCACCTTAATGTTCGTATTTTAATATCCCCTCCCCTTTTAGTTGAATAAATCTTTAACGGTGTTTTTGTGTTTTTCTTTCTTTGGTCACGTGGTATAATTTTGGCTATCGCCTATAAATATGCGTTTCCCTTTGCCTCTTTCGCCGGCTTTCCCTGACGATCCGTTTAGATGAAACCTAGGTTGGTTTGTCTGGCTCACTAGGTTTATCTATCTATCTATCTATCTATCTATCTATCTATCTATCTATCTATCTACAGGATTAGTATACGTACAAATACAAAAGACAATATAACAAAAGCGCACAAAAACAGTATAATTAATGAATGCTGATTTAATGAAATTTTCCTTCCAAAGCTTAAACAATGTATCTTGTTAGAGAAAGAAAGTGTTTTGAAATGTTATGTCGTATTAATCTTCTTATATGGCATTGAATGCTGGACAATATCCTCAAACAGGATACGCAACAAAGATGTGGTTCAAAAGGAGGATGCTGAGAATTCCATGAGGGGATTATGTGTATATTTAAGAAAATGAGAGATAAAAAGTATATCTTTGTTTAGAATCAGAGAGATCTGAAATTTCTTGGATGAGGAAAGATGGCTTGGAGAATTTGACACGGACAGGGCATATTGTAGACAAGAGAAAAAATTATAACAGCGAGTTACATATGTCATGACTTGTGTAAATTGTGAGAATTTATATTAAATAAAAAAATATTGCTTAGAGCTACAAAGGACAGTAATTGCACACCTCACGAATGGTTTCAAAAGATTAAAAAAAGGTTTATTTGGGTGCCGTATTTTTTTTTTTTGTTATTGAGATAAATGTATTTCTAGGGACTCAGAAAATGTCTTTTAATTGTCCGAATTAAAATTCATTCTAAAGACGATAATCACCTGCTTTTCTATGTATTTTCCGTTTTCACTTTGATCATTTTTTTCTATTCACACAAATCTCTTCAAGCCTTATAAACACATAAAAAAAAGGTAGATCACGCATGCGCAGATATGAACTCTAGGCTGGGTTAGTATTTTATTACGTGATTCACGTCCGGTAATACCAGCAGTCGGAATCGAAATTAATGTCCATCAGGAATCTTGATCGAAGACTGGTTGATCTGTGTTGACCTCAATATGTACTGGCTTCACCTTAAGAGTCACCAAAGTAAGTCTTGTACGAAAACGTACCTTCCCATGGCACTTAAACGAGATATCGCTTACATTATCTGAGTGCCAGAGACATTTATTTCATTGTGGAAATTGTGATGGTGCAAAGTCATAAACGTTCTCTGACTGACGAGTAAATTCCACGAAATCGCACAAGCGGGAATGTCTCCTAAACCTGGGTCCATGGAATTACGGGGGGCGGGGCTTTGCGGTGAACAGTGGCAAGAAGAAGGCAAGCTTGAGGGCTGAGCTTGGCAAGAAGTGAGACTTCATAATTAGTCTATTTTCTCATTATTTTGTCCTGTATAGGCACTGGCAATATTACAACTGCGTACCTATGAATAAGAATGACTTTGTTACTTGAGATAAAATAGTTAGAATTAACTTTTAAAGCATCAGTGAGTCAATTATCAGAGCTAGACTTTTTGACAAAACAAAACGTGTGTTGTTTTGTCAATACAGTAGAATCTCAGACAACCGGACTAAGAAGGCCTTCCGGATATGAGGAATTGGTTACAAAGTCCGGATATGAGAGGTTATATTTAGATTAATATAAAAGAACTGAAATCAGGTTTAACATTTATTTTCAATGATTTATAGTAAACAAAATAAATGTAAATCTGAACTATTAGCTTTTCTCAGTCATTCATTGTATCTTTCTGACAATATTCTTTAGTTCCTTCAAATCTGTCTCTTTCTTTTGTCCCTTCTTGCGAAAGTTTTCTATATATATATATATTTAAAACATCAGTATTTGCTTTTCACATTTCTTTGTTGCTTTTTCCTTCTGGATCTCATTCTTTGTTTCAAATGAAAAAGTTTCCTTTTTTATAATTTATTCGTTCAGTTATTCATTTTTTTTACTTTCTTTTTTATTCCCTAAAAAACTTTAACTTTTTTTAATAAATGCATTTTATAAATGTGTTTGTTTCTTTCTTATCGGCGTTATTATTTTTTTTTATAATTCATTATTTTCTTTCTTTCATTATTTTCTTAAAAACGTTTACTTTCGTTGTTTAATGAATCTGTGTTTTTTTTTCGTGCTTTCTTTGTATTTATCGTTTTCTGTTTTTCACCTCGTTAATTGTTCTTTCTTTCTTTTCTCTTTCTTTCTTTCTTTCTTTTTAATATGACTCTTTTAGAGTTTGATTTTGAAATTCTTCACCATTATCTTAATCCACCTTTTCATTATTTCCTTCTTATTTCTTTCCATTATTCTTTTCTTCTGATTTAATTAAATCTTTTCTTCGTATCATTTTTCCTTCGCTTCTTGAATTTCCCTTTTCATTACTTTTTCGTTTCTTTTAAATCATTTTCTTTTATTTTTCCTTTAAGCCTTTTCATTCTCTTCATTCGCCCTGCCATTCTCTTCACTCTGTTTTATTCTCTTCATTCTCTGTTTCGTTCTTTTCATGCACTATTTCCTTCCCTTTATTTGCTGTTTCATTCTCTTCAATCTCTATTTCATTCTTTTCATTCTCTATTTCATTCTCTCCATTCTCTGTTTCATTCTTTTTATTCTCTGTTTCATTCTATCCATTCTTTGTTTCATTCTCCTTATTCGCTTTTTCATTCATTTCATTCTCGCTTTCATTCTCTCTTTCATTCTATTTATTCTATCTTTCATTCTATGTTTCACTCTCTTTATTCTCTGTTTCATTCATTTCATTCTCTTTTTCATTCTCTGTTTCATTCTCTCCATTCTCTGTTTCATTCTTTTTATTCTCTGTTTCATTTTATCCATTCTTTGTTTCATTCTCTTTATTCTCTTTTTCATTCATTTCATTCTCTCTTTCATTTTCTGTTTCATTCTCTTTATTCTGTTTCATTCTCTCCATTCTGTGTTTCATTCTGTGTTTCATTCTCTTTATTCGCTGTTTCCTTCTTTCCATTCTCTGTTTCATTCATTTCATTCTCTTTTTCATTCTGTTTCATTCTCTTTATTCTCTGTTTCATTCTTTTCATTCTCTGTTTCATTCTCTTTATTCTCTGTTTCATTCTTCCATTCTCTATTTCATTCTCTTTTCATTCTCTTTATTCGCTGTTTCTCTCGTAAATGTTATAACGTAATAATAGTGTCCAACAACAAACATCATCAAAGAATCATAATCGATAATGTAAACCTTTCCTCAGATAAAGGCAGAAACCAAAATAAAAGAGAGGAAAATGTAACATTCAGACGTATCACTCTTTTCTGTCGGATCGCTGTTAGTCGAAAGGTGATCGCCATTTTGATTAGACCAATGATATTAACCAGCCAAGACAGTCACATCATCTCACCGAAAACAACACTAATAAAAACAAGTACAAACTTCAGCTAAATTCCTATATTCCGTGGCAACTTTCAGCATTCAGCATGAAAACCAATTTGGGACAGAACCGTCTGCCAGAATTCATTTGCAGATATTTCGCTTTTCTAACGTTTGGTTTCTACAAACAGAAAAAAATGTTCTTTGAGTATTATTAGCCTTTAGGCAATTTACACTAAAACTATTGAAAGTTCTATATTAGCGATGTCATGGTAATTGAACATAGGAAGGGAATTTTGATCTACATTGACCATTTTTCTCTTTAACATGGCGTATCTCCTTTTCGCTCTCTGATTCTGTTTGACTGCCTCATTCTAGATATATACATATTATTTAAAAATTTGTTCTATTTATAGGGGAAGATCGGAGATCACTATTGAGAGAGAGAGGGGAGAGAGGGAGAGAGAGGGGGAGTTGAGGAAGAGAGGTGGACAGAGAGGGGGAGAGAGGGGGAGAGGGAGAGAGGGGGAGAGAGAGGAAGAGAATGGGAGAGAGGGAGAGGAAAGATAGAGAGAGAGAGGAAGAGAGAGGGAGAGAAGGAGAAAGAGGGGAGAAGGAGGGAGAGAGAGAGAGGGGGAGATAGAGGGAGAGAGAGGGAGAGATAGGGGGAGAAGGAGGGAGAGAGGCAGGGAATAGAGACCGTTTGTAGATATAGACAATCTGTTACTTCGTGGTAACAGGTTTAAGGTCACAACCCTTTGAGTCATCGTTTCCCGTACAATCACCGAAGTTAAGCAACGTCGAGCCTCATCAGTATCTAGATGGATGATCGCTTTCGGATACCAGGTGCTGTAAGCTTTCGTTGGCAGGTGATGTGGTGGATAAGGACTCGGGATTTTTAATCGGAAAGCCGAGTTCCAATTTCTATTGGGTTCGTTATATACCCATAAACCCCTATAAAATCTACCTTTTCTCATTCCGGCTATTGGCTAGTTATTAATACTTTCTAGAGTTAGGGAACCGGGCGTCAATGTAACTCTGAAACAGTGAGATCAGCGAATATCATTACGATGCTTGTTAATACTAATGTTAATCTAGTAAGAGGCCCAAGTGCCACTCAAGGTAGAGGATCACTGTGTAGTGTTGTATGAGCATAAGAAACTGCAAGAAGTAAAATTCGTGGGTTATTTAAGAAAGATAACGGTTAAAACTAGACTTGAAAAGGTCAAGATTGTAGTGTGTGGCAAATGATCAACAAAACAGTAGTTCTTAGAAATAATCTACCCGAATGGAACTTCCTCCTTACTAATGGAATACGAATGAAAATGGGGATGATTTATCCTTGTGTACGTAACATGGCGTGTCCCAGGTGTAAAGGTTACGACTGAGGGACTAAGGAATGTAGCTTGTTAGAACATATGCCATGGAAATAGCGATGCAGCAGAGAGAGGCTCGTGATGTTTCGTCTATGGGAACGTGGTTGTAGGGTAGAAAATATTTCATTACTACAAAGCTACGCAGACGCTTTAGAACTCTATCAAGACAAGTAATTGTGGACTGGGAAACTCCAGCCCAGATTTTTTTTTAATAAGCATTTCACCCCAAGCTAGGCGGGAAGCCACTAGCACGCAAGGGGTTACAGAGAATTGGAGTGAGTACAAATATAAGTAATTGAGGGAAGGATGAAGAGAAGGATAGGGGATAGATCAAGGTATCTCGATACGTCGATTGACATTACATTAAAATAGTTGGATATTATAGCTATCAGGGAAACAGGAGAAGAAGAGGGAGACATGAGGCGAGACATAAGGCTATTGGAATAGAAGAGACGGCTACATTTAACAGTTTCGACAGTGAAAAGGTGTGAGCGAGATGTCGGCCTAGCTGAACGCTTAAATTCATGAAGTCTGGGAACCAGCGAAAGCAGCTCCTCGGAGCAGTTACCATGAAAGTATTTGTAAAAAAGACAGAGGGAGGCGACGGCACGTCTGTGAGAGAGCGACTGCAGACGCGATGCCAGATCAGGGCCAATTACATTGCATATCCGTCTCTGGATCTTATCAAGGACCTTGAGACAAACAGAAGGGTCACCGGACCATATATGGCAGCAATACTCCATGCAAGGGCGAATGGTTGATTTGTAGATTTGAAGGATCGACTCCGGCGAGAAAAATTTCCTGGCGCGGGACAACTTTCCTTGCGGTGGACGAAGCTATTGACTGTATATATATAACAGCAATATTCCATTTTTAATTTGATCTGGCTCTTGTAAAGATAGTGCATATCAAGGTGAGTCAGATAGTTACTGGATCGATAAAAGGAAAAAAAAAACAAACTATACGGGCAATTATATAGTCAACATTTCAAAATGAATTTTCTCGTTTTTGCCCGTATGGTGTGTACCTTTGTGAAACCGTTTGCCATCGCTTAAGAGTTAAGATATACTGACTAACTGTTTCGAATAAATGCACAATGACAATCAAGAGGGATAAAGAGAAACTGAAAACATTATTACAGAACTTGCCTAACAATTGAGTTTAAACGATAACAGTGTCAGTCTTATCAAGTGATTGCCTTTAAAAACTGAATATATTCATTGTAAAGTTTAGGGAAAACAGGAGCCAGATCAGGAGCAAGGACTACTTTAGGGATACCATTAATTTCACAGGATTTGTGAGCATCCATTTTAGATATGATAACAGCGACCATGAACGGAGTTATATAATAGAGATTCAGTTATAAGTTGAAAGACAGGCAAAGGTACTCTAGATGAGTCAAGTGTAGAACTGGAAAAGAATTTACAAGCAAAACATTCTGCGTTATCAGCAGATATTAACACTTTAAATTCAGTGAAAAGGAAAGGAATAAAAGTCATAAACTTAATTATCCCACCATTACAGACGCCAGTAGTCGCAAAAATAAAAAATGTTAAGGGTTTTAGGGTGCCTCCTTCTGTCAGAGAACAAAATCTTACCCTTTTTGAGGAGGCAGTTATAATTATTTCGAATGTGTCTGTTGTGAAGAGAACTAAAACAACCGGAAAAAGTCATGCTTGTGGGCTATAGCGGCCCAGCAGACGCGTATAAACCAAGAAGAAGATGGTGGTTTCACTTGGTATTTCCAAAAATTAACAAAAGCATCGTTGCCGGCTTTTATCCAAGAAGAAACCTCAGTGGCACAATTTTGAGTAGTGTTAAAAACTACTATAATTTTTATGTACAAACATTTAGAGAAGAGGTTAAAAAACATTTAGAGAAAATTGTAAAAAAATACATTGAGCTGCAATTTTTTTTTATCGAGAATCCATTGTTGATGATAGAGGTTGGAGAAGAATGCTCATAATGGTTGAAGCAGATTAAAAAAAAAAAACAAAAAAAAAGACAGTCCAAATAAATACCATTTACAACGGAGATATTAAGAAGATCATTTTGAGAAGCACAACACGTCGCACCTGGAATAAGATGGGGTACAGAAGCAGAAAACCAGGTCGGGTGCCACACCCGTCAGATGAGAACACGAAACCGAGGCTACAATTCGCTAAGGCTCAGTGAAATGGGATAATAGAAGATTTGACAAAGATGTCAGATGAGTGTGAATTTCAGCTGTGATATCCTGACAGCACTGTCTGAAATTGGTGTAAAAACATGAAAATATGATTTTCCCCTGTCTTGCATCAATAGTGAAAACTGGTGGCGGTATGAAGAATATTTATTTGGTATATATGCGGGAGCTTGATAGCAAAAACAGATCGTTTAAATGCCAAAGTCCACCAAAGTTTTGTAGCTTACTAGGTGCCTCGATTTATGACAATGTTGCCCCCATCGTCCAGTGACCAATTGCATCAGAATAATTCAACGTGTCATAAATAAGAAATTGTGGCAGATTGAATCATGATACACAGAAAAGGGTACAGTGGCGTAAACTCTCACCGGACATTAATCCCATAGTGCATATTTGGGATGTGGTGGAAGTGGAAATTCCAATGTTGTGGGTACAGCCAACCAATCTAGAAGAATTGAAGAACGCTATAATATCAGAACTGACCTAAAAAAGTATTTCCAGATTATCGTCAAATCCAAGAAAATAAATTTAAAGACGATTCTAAAGATAAAACGAGTTCCAACCGAAAGGCTTAATTCTCTCTTATATTGAAATCTCTTACTCAATAAATATCGTAAATTCTACAAAGTGATAGCACAACTTAATCTCCAGTAATACCCATCGCTTGATTTGTCCACAGATATGGGCAATGCCGATGTGGCTTTTTCGTCCTGCTAGGAACTTACAGTTATATGCTCATATGCGGCAATATTGCGTGTCTCATGCTGCAGGTGTTACGGTAATATTTTTGGTGAATTTCATATAGTGTATTGGTTCACTGACATAAGCATATTCTTTTGCGCACTCGCATAACGTGTAGTGAATGACGACTCTGAGTAGGTGGCTTCTTTGATGACTTTGTAAACAGACGTGACCACAGTCAGTACATGTAAGATCAATCTCTGTGACACATTTCACTGGGATTAACATCAAGACCCTTACGAAAATTTCTCTTGAGATTTTCAAGCTTTGCATAATTCTGTTTAAAGTGGATTTTCCTTGTCATTTTTCAATCAGATTTTTGTGCGCTGTATATATATATAATAAATGATAATGTCAGTGTGTTACTGTGTCACACTTTTTCCACTTTACTCCTAGAGGACAAAGACCAACATATCATACCTTTTTGGAATCAGGCCGACTGCGCGAGCAAATTAAAAACATTGGGGGGGATGTGGATCCGTCCGAACGTTTTTTTTTTCATGAA